CACTTGTTTGCAATGCGATTATTTACATTTAAAGAACAAGAATTTTGTTGCCTTCACATTATTCATTAAATCCTTTAATTGGTCTTAAATATTAAATCTACAGAAACCCGAATATTTTACTACACATTTGGTTTTAACTATTTTAATAAAATGAACTATAAATGTATATTGATGTGCAGGGAAATATGGTGATTCTGGTGAGGTGTGAAGAGGAGGATGCTGATGATGATGAAGAGGGATTAAACCTGCTCCAGAGGGGACTAGTTCATCAGTGTCATCTGGCCTTACATGTGGAGGGTTTACCTACCGGCTACTGCAGGGACATACACGGACAGGTGCATGTCTCATGCTACAGTTCACTTATAGACTCTATTCAATTGCTTTTTAAGGTCCGGTAAAGTGCTTTGAAATGTGCATTTTTTTATGTGATGTTTAATGTAATCTCAACTGAAAATAAAGAGAGGGTGGGACTGTAGAGTAGCCCCTCCCCTTTTTAAAAAACAGCCAATCGTGTTGTTTTAAACACAGCTCTGCCAATGAGAGTGGTTGAGCTCAAGCGCATCAAATGAAAAGCAAATGAGAACCATCTAGAAGGGGTGGGGCATGATGGATACTAGAGAGCATTTGATTGGTCAAGCTTTGAGAAACTACAAACTACAAGCTTTACATGTTTATATCTTCTAAACGTGAATTGTCACTGTTTTGGAGCACACCAACATATAGATGTCCTTAAAAACTAACATCTAATTTTTTTATTTTAATTTTATGGGACCTTTAACTGATCTGACGGTTTTGTGTGTTTTCAGATGGAGGTTTGGTGGCGACAGGGGGAAAACGATGCTTACAACCAACGGAAAATATTTCAATTCAAAGTTCACGATAAAGGAGCTTCGTTTTTCACCCGAGGGACTTCTAGAGCAGTTCTCTGAGTTCTTACATGAAATATTTATTGTTTAGGTCTCTTATTTAAAATTATTTCATGACTATTTTTTTTATTAAAAGACATCTTTAGTGCATTACTGTTTTTAGTGGTTTTGTTTATTTGTTGTATTATTTTCTATTTTCGTTTTGTGTACCAAAATGGACCACCATTCAGTGTGCAAACATGCATTTAAAGCTGGAACAATAATGCTTGTAAACGTCTTTCTTTAAAGACACAGAAAAAGGACAGATACATGGATCAGTCATGCACAAAAGTTATTTAAATGTTCAATTCAAGTTTACTAGAACAGCGCTTTACACAATAATTATCATTCCAAAGCAGCTTCACAAAAGGTGCACATCATTACATTAGTCAATATTAGAAATGTTAAGAAGTTATGTAAAGGGGTTGGCAGTATATAAACGTAGTTAATCTGCAGCATTTAGTTTCACCCGTACCAAGTCACGCGTACCAATAATAATACATGTTGAAGTTTATTTGTTTAAAACTTTAATTGAATATTTAAATGTATTTGATTTTTTTCCCTTTGGTGAAAAATCAAATGCAAGTTCTCCATTGTGGGTCCTTTCATAAGATAATTTTAAGTATATTGAGATTTTCTATGGATTAAATGTGCAGTGGCATCAATATAATTAAACTTTAAAAAAAAAACAACATTTGTAATTTATTTGTAGCAAACGTTTAACGTTATTCAACTTATGAACAGCACATTTCAATCACTATTGTAAATTTACAAAAGAGGACACTGTTGCGTTGATGATAATGATTATTAGGGTTAGCAGCAGCACATTAATTTGAACAAAAATTACATGAGGTTACAAAGGATTTCTATTTTTAACTCTTTTGAAATTTCAAAATTAACAATCCTTCAAAAAAAAAAAAAAAAAAAAGTGGTATGCACAAAAACATGAAGCACCACTCATTTTTTCAACACTGAGAAGCAGACTTTATCAAATAAATAAATTAGAATGATTTCAGATCATGGCAAAAGATAAAGTAATAATTCACATTTTTAAATACATAACAAAAGTTTTTTTTAAATAATCAAAATGTGATGCAGACTTGCTTAGAATATTTCACAGAGCGTGTCGAGACTTGTGCTCTCAATCACGCCCACTGATATATAGCCAAACAAAAGCACTTATGCTACTTGATGTTGAGAACTTGTATTTAAATGTATTGTCATAACTACATGGTTTTTGTAGCACGAGTAGTTTGCTACTGCAATTTTATTCTTTATTCTTACACGTTTACAAATATCAGCAAATGAATCTGGCAAAGGAATGAAAGGGATAGTAGCCTACATTCAAAAATGAATCTCTCAACATTTACTCTTTACTTTATCCAATCCTTTTTGAGTTTCTTTCTTCTGTTGAATACAAAAGAAGATATTTTGAAGTATGCTGGAAACCTGTAACCATTGATTTCCATAGTAGTAAAAATAAATACTATGGATGTTTAAACAAAGAGGAATGGATTAAACTGCTGCTTAACTCTCAACTGCTCCTCATCCACCAATCAGTGTGAGCAGTCAATGATTGGCAACAGGTGATGGCCATTATAATTTTTTGTAGTAAAGTAAATGAGGCTGCACCCAAAATCGCCCCCTATGGACCTTATTCTGCAATGCCGATGTAAACTCTTTTCTGCAAATGTTTAAGAACTTCGGATTCAGTTGTCTATGAACAAAAATTACAAGGAATAATAAATAGAAGAAAACGGTTAAACTACTTGCTCTATAAACAACCATGTTAACCACAATACATAAAAATATTAGACAAAATCAGTTTAAAACATTCAGCAGAATGAACTATTTATCAAAAAATAAATGGAAGTGGACTAAATCTCAAGTCAATAAGATTAAAAATGGCTGCCCTTGCTATTACGCGAGAATAAGGTTAATAGCCCCGTTCACTTAATTATGCCTTTACGAGATGTGGTTTGCCATAAAAACAAATGCCCATGATTCCAGCCTTTCAACAGTGACATTTACAATAAACTGAGCTCAATCAGTTTTAATTTAACTAGAACATCAACCAGCATTGAGCATTCTACCAGTAATCATCTGCTTGCCTGATATGTTGGAATGTTTCCACAATTTGAAATACTGTTATGGCGTGTTATAATCTTCAACTATTTTAAGCTGCTTTAGCACAATCTACAAAGTAAAAAGTGCTATAGAAATACATATGAATAGAACTTAATTGAGCAAAGCCATCTGAGCCCAGAGAAGAAGCTGCAACATGAGGCCCTTTGAACCCAGGGGTGGAGCTGCACCAGGGGACCCACTGAGCCCAGAAATATAGCTGCGTCACATGGTCCACTGAGCCCAGAGGTGGAGCTGCTTATTTTATTTGACTGTTTATTGGTTTACTGTCATCATACTGAGTTGCTTGATATATGGTACACAATTGAGGCAAAGAATGATCAAGTAAAAAGCGGTATAGAAATAGAGATGGAATAAAATTGAATTGAACAAAGCCCTCTGAGCACAGGTGTGGAGCTGCACCAGGGGACCCACTGAGCCTAAATGTGGATCTGCGCAACAAGGTTCACTGAGCCCAGAGGTGGAACTGTGCCTTATGCTCACTGAGCCCTGAAGTAGAGTTGATTATTTTATTTGACTGTTTATTTGTTTACTGTCCTTATACTCAGTTGCTTGATATTTGGTACCCAAATGAGGCAAAGAATGATTAAGTAAAAAGCGGTATAGAAATAGAGATGGAATAAAATTGAATTGAACAAAACCCTCTGAGCCCAGAGTAGGAGCTGCACCAGGGGACCCACTGAGCCCAAAGGTGGAGCTGTGCAACAAGGCTCACTGAGCCCAGAGGTGGATTTGCGCCATAAGGCCCACTGAGCCCTGAAGAGGAGTTGCTTATTTTATTTGAGTGTTTATTCGTTTACTGTCATTATACTGTTACATGATATTTGGTAACCAATTGAGGCAAAGAATGACTAAGTAAAAAGTGTTCTAGAAATACAGATGGAATAAAATTGAATTGAACAAACCCCTCTGAGCCCAGGTGTGGAGCTGCACCAGGGGGCCCACTGAGCCTAAAGGTGGAGCAGCACCACAAGACTCACTAGGCCCTAAAGTGGAGCTGCCTATTTTATTGGACTGTTTATTAGTTTACTGTCATTATACTGAGTTGCTTGAAATATGGAACCCAACTGAGGCAAAGAATGACTAAGTAAAAAGCGGTATAGAAATAGAGATGGAAAAATTAATTTGAATTTAACGAAGCCCTCTGAGCCCAGAGTAGGAACTGCACCATGAGGCCCTCTGAGCCCAGAGTAGGAGCTGCACCATGAGGCCCTCTGAGCCATTTGAGGCAAAGAATGATTAAGCAAAAAGCGGTATAGAAATAGAGATGGAATAAAAGTGAATTGAAAAAAGCCCTCTGAGCCTAGAGTAGGAGCTGCACCAGGGGACCCACTGAGCCCTGAAGTGAAGCTGTTTATTTTATTTGACTGGTTATTTGTTTACTGCCAGTATACTGAGTTGCTTGATATATGATACCCACTTGATGCAAAGAATGATTTGAATTTAAATGATTCTGCAGAAGATAAACAAACTTTCTGTTCTGAATATATGTCCTACTTTTTCTGTTTCTGGAATATGTGCTATTCTGAATATTTGTCCTACCTTTTCTGTTTCTAAAAGAGTCATTTACCACCAATATGGCATTTTAGAAATCTTTTACGGTAATGCCACATTTTGAAGGAGTTTAAAAAGTCACTGAAGATCACAATAGAAATGAGAATTATAATTCAGAAACGTCTTTATCCTCCACTGATAGTAATAGTTAACCGCCAATATTACACCAAAAAAATTATACATAATTATAAATATAATGAAAATATTCTAGAGCTAGAGAATAGTGAGTTATATCTGACAGGGAATTATATTTGACATTTATTCGCCATTGCTCTTTGTAGTACAGGAGAGTGTTTGTTTGTGGGACAACTCAGGTATTTCTCACCCAGTTGAGGAGAGGTGGGAGCCTGGGAGATTGTGGAGAGGGTCAAGAGCTCTGTCCGCCTGTCTCGGTGCAGGGGGACCAGCATCACACACAGGGCAGAAGAATGTTTTGACCACAGAAGCCCCTCATTGAAACGGTGCTGGCTGCATTCTCTGAAACCCCTAGACTGCACTTACCCAAGGAATCAGAGCTCTGTCCGGAAAGCAACCGTCTGGCAACCTGAGCAGGAGGCTGCTGGCCATGGGAGCCTCCAGGGTGAAGGTAAGATGCAGAAGCTAGAACATAGAGGGAATTCACAGAGATTCAAATGTGGATCTAAGATGGAACACACACTTTTTGGAGTTCACATCAAATTAAACATGCAAAAATATACATAGAATGTTAAATGCAAATGTATACTTTGATTTTCCAGAACCATTTGTGAAAATAAAATGTAAAAAATTTGTTGAAATAATGTTGGCATTCAGCGTAACCAGTGTATTTATGTAGCAACTTATTCTGACCTGTACTTATTTAAATAATTGGTTTGTAAACATTTTATTTATTAAAAACTTCTCGCTGGCCAGTGGGTAAAATTTAATTGTAAGGAAAGTGGCAATGTGTAAAAAAAAATATTTAAAGTTTTAGGGCTGCACTGTGATCCTTAAATAGTGTCTTTTAGGAGGTTATCAAATTATTCTTGTTGTAATTATGCCAAAAAGATAAGATTATTTGATATATAAACCATTGTGATATCGAATGACATTTCAGTGGGGGTCTTTTGCAAATCGTAAAAAGATTTAAATAAGTAAAATAATAATAGTAAAATATAATTTTTAAAAATGTTTAATTATACATTATAAAAACATTACAAAAATATACAAAGACATAAAAATGTAACAATAACCAAATACACTGAAGAGTATTTTGAGCAAATAATATTAATAATAAAAAAAAAATAAATAAAAATAAATAAATCAGGGGACTAAATCACAAGGAGCAGGATCAAGCTGAAGAGTTTGGACATGTTTGCGAAGGGGTTCCCACAATTTAATAAAAATAGTGCCAGGTCGGAGAAGAGAGTTCCTTTTTGTTTTTTCTCATTTCAGTAAAATAAAGAACATTTCTTATCCTACAAGTGTGAGAAGGAGGGTGAGGGCTCTTCCAGTTCAGAAGAATTAATCGCCTAGCCAGAAGAGTTAAGAAGGCTACAAAGCCTACAAAATGAGAGGGTAAAGTGTGGTCGGGCGGAAGAACCCCAAATAATCCAATAATTAGACACGGTGGGATATCAATAGTGGTAATAGCTGATAGCGAGAGGAATACTTGTCTCCAATAGACATATGGATTAGTAAAATATACATTTTTGACATAGAATCAACTTTATTTATGCACATTTAGTGGCTCAGACGGTTTGCTTTGTCAATATGAAGTGTTGTCGTCAGATTCATATTGGTTGGTTTTAAGCACTTGTCTTGTCTTGTTGAAAGCAAAAAGCAAACAAATTGGTCACTAGGGAGAAATCGTTTAATGTATGGATTCAACCAATGCGTTGTTAATCAGTGCATATTTAGGTTTAACGTTATAGAATTACATCCATGCATAATAAACATTTTTACGCCATTTAGACTGACAAATAGAATTAATTGCATAGTAAATATATAACAAACTAACTGCACTGTAAGACATATTGGTTAATTGTTGACATTGTGAATTGTATTATGGGATGTTGATCTCACTGTACATTTCAGTTTGATGTTGAAAATTCAACTCTACAGTTTAAGAAAGTGACTTTTAATGGCATTGTTGTTGTTTGATATAATATAATGTATAAGGAATAAGGTATGTACTGGCATTCTATTTCAAAGTTTTTGTACCATAATATACAAGACCAACCCAGACAATATACCACTTCAAGCAATTAAAAATGTTCATAACAGTCAGTTTAACAAACTTTTCAAGATTAAAAGTTGAAGGAAATATCAAGGTCCCGCAATTAAATTTGAAACATAAATGAACAGGAAAAAAATTAAATCACAAAAACTGCTCATTTACAGATATTTTTTACAGTATACATAGATCATTTTTTATGCCAGTATTTGTTAATGTGTGTCGTCAGCAACCTATTACTTTTATAAGATGTCCTGTGAGACCAGTATAAAGTATATTGCATATAAATAGACTTTTTATTAATGTTTCTGATATTATTAACCACTTGTAATATGTTTCACAATACCAGATTTCAATACAATCATTTAGTTTAATAGCCTGTACATGTTACACAGTTAAAGAATTTAAGGTGACAGAGATGGAAAGGTATGCAGCACCTCACTGTCCCAGAGACCCTGTAGGTTTGTGAGGAAGCGAATGCTTTAGACTTATGAGCCCTTTAGCTCCACCCCATCACAGTGCAGCTTATTAAATACATACATATATATATATATATATATATATATATATATATATATATATATATATATATATATATATATATATATATATATATATATATATATATATATATACACACACAGTTGAAGTCATAATTATTAGCCCCCTTGAATTATTAGCGCCCCTGTTTATTTTTTTCACCAATTTCTGTTTAATGGAGGGAAGATTGTTTCAGCACATTTCTAAGCATAATAGTTTTCAAAACTTAACTTAACAGATTTATTTTATCTTTGACATGATGACAGTAAATAATATTTTACTTGATATTTTTCAAGACACTCTTATACAGCTTAAAGTGACATTTAAAAGGCTTCATTAGGTAATAAGGTGAACTAGGCAGGTTAGGGTAATTACTTAGGCAAGTTATTGTATAATGATGGTTTGTTCAGTAGATTATCGAAAAAAATTAGCTTAAAGGGGCTAATAATTTTGTCCAAAAAATTGTTTTTAAAAAATTAATAACTGCTTTTATTCTATCCGTTCTATCCGAAATAAAACAAATAAGACTTTCTCCAGAAGAAAAAATATTATCAGACATACTGTGAAAATTTTCTTGCTCTGTTAAAAATAATTTGGGAAATATTAAAAAAAATAAAATAAAATCAAAAAGGGGCTAATAATTCTGACTTCAACTGTATATATATATATATATATATATATATATATATATATATATATATATATATATATATATATATATATATATATATATATATATTCATTAAATGTACAATTCCAATTTTTTTACATTCTTGAAAGAAGTATCCTCTGCTTATCAATGTTGTATTTATATGGTCAATAATACATTAAAAACAGCAATATTATGAATCATTAATCCATGAATAACTGTTCGTAATTTAATCTAAATGTATGTGTTATGCTGATTTGATGCTCAGTAAATATTTCTTATATTTTATTACAGAAGTTTTACAATAGAAAAAATATTAGGGGGAGAATTATTTTTTGAATTATAAAGTTAATTAAAACCATTTTTATGAATTTATTGTAACTAATATCAATAATATTCCCTAAACTTTTCTAAAATACTGTATAATAATTAATGTAAATGTGTAATTGCAATGGATTTTTTTTTGTCATTGAACAAGAGATCCAAAAATGTCAGTTGAGTTCAAAGGTCAAAGGTCACATTCAGTACTGTACGATAAGCATGCAGTACTGCTGTCGCACAGAGAAAGTGAGATTTTACAGGGAAATGAAAATGGGCCTTTCAACAGTCAGGTCTGGAATTTGAGAGCAGCCTGAGAACTGTAATGATGTGAAGCGTTTGAGATTTGATTGAAATCTCCCTCTTTACTGCATTTACATGTACATTCTTGGCTGCCTATTTTACCATGATATTGGCATGTTAGTTAAATATGATGTGTATGACATGACGTATACCAACAATTCTACAAATAACAATTACAGGCATCAGCTGATGGCGTCTCAATAAACCCCAAAATATCACTGGGCCACATGCTGATAAATGTGCATCAGATAGCAGGATTAGAAAGGTGATTGAGACTTGTCTCGTAATTCAAATATTTTTCCTCACAATTCAAACTTAACATCTCACAGATCTTTCCCATTCATCTCTGAATTGTGAGGAAAAAAGAAGAATTGTGAGATATTGCTAAAAGATGCAAAAAAAAAAAAAAAAAAAGTAAGAAGATTGAGACTATCTCTTAATTTTGTATTTATGTTTCATTTTTTTGATCAGTATTCTGAAATTTATTATAATTTCAAGTAGGATTGCTGGAATTATTGCATTTTTGTCTTTCTTCCTCATATTTTTTTCTACAGAGTCGATTAGGAACTTATACATGTATTTGTGAGAAGTTGCAATTCACAAAAAAGTCCAAAATTTGAGATAACATTCACAGTTACCTATATTTTTATTTTATTAATTATTTAGGAGAAACACACTTTCATAGACTGACTTATAAGATCTTATAAACAACATTTCCAGTGATTTTTTGATTCTTTATTTAGATAGAAAATCCTTCCTATTCTCCATGATGCTTTGTGTGAATATGGGAGTACATAGCTAATGCTATCATTAAAGTGTATGCAAAAAGGCCAAAAGTACCTCTCATTCTGTTTTCACAATGTTTATAGATACTTTGTAGTGCAACCTTATTATTTGAAGCCATGTTTTGACAGTTCCCCAAAACTGGAAGTGCAACCATAATTTGAAACAATGTCGTCAAGTGCTAAAAGGTCTGATTTGATACTTTTGATTTTTTTTTAAAATTCATTTTGTCAGTTCAATCACGGGCTAAAATGTTTGTTTCTCTCAACTAAAAGGTCATAAGACAGAATCATAAACATCTCTGGATGAATAAACGTTTACCTGAAGTCCATTGTTAACAATACTTGTAATTTGTAAATGTCTTATATCTTCGTCTACAACAAAACAAGCGTGCAGTTTGAGGGCAACTGTGCTGCAGATAAAGACGATTTTTACCAATTGATATTTGCAAAAACATATAAAACAATTATCTAAGTATAGGCAACACTGCTAATCACTAGCTATAAAAACAACTTTAGCAAAACAGATGCGGACATGTCTAAAACGCTAGAACTGTACTGATGTGAAGCATTTGAGATTTGGTTGAAATCTCTATGTTGCATATACATGTACATTCTTGGCTACTTACCGTAATATTGGCATGTTAGTTAAATATGATGAGTATAACGTAAATTAACAATTCTACAAATCACAATTACAGGCGTCTCAATAAACCGCAAAATACCACTGGGCCAAATGCTGATAAATGTGCATCAGTTAGCAGGATTAGAAAGGTGATTGAGACTTGTCTCATAACTCAAATATTTTTCCTCACAACTTAAACTTGATGTCTCACAGATCTTTGTTATTCATCTCTGAAGGAAAAAAGAAAGGATTGTGAGATATGGCTGAAATATTTTAAAAGGTCAGAAGTTTGTAAGAGACGTTATCTCTTCATTTTGTATTTGTATGTTAATAATTTTTTTTTTTTTGCTCAGCATTCTGAGATTCATCATCCAGAATTTCAAGTTGGATTTTCAGGAATTATTGAATTTCTGTCTTTTTTTCCTCATATTTTTTCTACAGTCAGTTATGAGCCTATACATGTATTTGTGAGAAATTGCAATTCAGATGAAAGTCAGAATGTTTTGATCAGTGATTCTCAAACTGTGGTACGCAGGCTTCCTTCTAGTGGTACGCGGAGGATTCGCTGAATAAATAAAGTAAAAGAAATAAAAACACTTTTAACCCTTTAATGCGTACGATAAGCCTGATGTGATCAGTAGAAGCCTGATTTTAATAGGGTAAACTTTTTATTTTATTTTCAATTTTCTAATGTTTGTTATGTATTCTATCATGTGAAGCTAACCTCCCTGTATTTGTAATGGTTGTTGGGGCGTATCCTCCATTTTTATATCCCAGTGTTGACAGGTATAGTGTAATGACTTGCTTTTCTGACACACAGCCTACTCTAAAGCACATTAAGCAGATCTTATTTCTAATTTAAATATGTAAATTTTATTCATATATTTAAAATACAAGTTAATGTTTATATTTCAAAGATATACAAAAAAGTCGTGTGTACATGCAACATATATTTAAAAATTTATCAAAGAGTTTATATATGAATATGATGACATATAGCCTTTATTTATGAGGTCCAAGTTTTGATGAATAGGTTACTTTATGATAATACTTTACATTGAAGTACAGCAGTTTTCTTATGTTGTGTCATTTTTAATCAACTTTCAAAATCACATTTTAATTTAAACATTGACGTTTTATTTTTTACCTGTGAACACAGTACAGTGTTAATGTTCAAACTATTTATAATGTTTAAAGTGGCTGACAATAATAAATATTCATAACAATAAGAATTAATCTGCCACGTTTTTGAACTGTGCAGCTATATATACTTGGCTTAATTAAGCCAACTACGCTACTGTATTTCCATACTGGTCATTATGGTTTGTCGTGGAGAGAAATAAAATTCTGAGGTGGTACTTGAAAAAAGTTTGAGAACCACTGTTGTAGATAAAACGTCCGTTACATATATTTTTATTTTATTCAGATTGACTTATAACCATCTGAGAAACATTATAACATTTCAAGTGGTGCTTTTTCTATTTGTTATTTAGACAAAAATGTCATATTCCCCATGATGCTTTGTGTGAAAAAATATGGGAGTACATTTCAATAAGTGTATGCAAAAAAGGCCAAAAGTACCTCTCATTCTGTTTTCACCGTTTATGGATAATTTGTAGAGCAACCTTATTATTTGAAGCCATTTAGTTTAGTTCTTTGGAACGAAAGTTTCCCAAACCAAAACGGCAACCATAAAGTAGTCAAGTGCTAAAAATGTCTAATTTACTCTGCATTTAGTTTGACTCAGTTTGATTCATACTGACAGTTCATAAACGCAATAAAATGTTTGTTTCTCCCAACGAAAAAAAAGACAGAATCATAAACATCTCAGGGTGAAGTAAATATTTATCTAAAGTGCATTGTTAACAACAAGACGATGCATTTTGTTTTTTTCGCGCGTAGCGTGAGGGCAACTTTGCTGTAAGTTAGATAAAGGCAATTTTACCAACTGATATTTGCAAAAAAAATGATCAAATTACAGCCAACGCCCCTAGTCCTTAGATATGAAAGAAGTTTTTAGGAAAACAGATATTGACATGTCTATAACACGCGGGAAAACTCACTTCTGAGAGAAATTTCTTCTCTGGCGTTTTGTATGTGGTGATGAGCTCCTCTAATTAACAATAACCACTAGAGGGGGATATTTATAGATAACAATGTTCTTAAAGCTTTAAGGCAGGGGTGCTCAAGCTTTTTCTTACGAGGGTCTAAAAACCAAACTTAATTGAGGTTAGTGGGCCGAAAGTAAATATAGTTGCCATGGGTAATTTTCAAATTCATTTAATAATATTTAAAAATAGCTAGAAAACATTGCTTTATATTAACTAATACTGTATTTTTAGTTATTTTTTAACATTTTAAAATGAACCTATTACAGTTAAAAACAAAAAACTATCTAATTTATAACAGAATGGAGTTACACTAGTTTTTGCCTTGATTTGCTCACCAATGTCTTCTGCATGGCCCTCTATCCGTTGAGTGACATAAAAAAAAAATCAGATATATTTACGTTTAATTAATTTCAGTTAGCTTTTTTGTAGCTAAGAAATAAAACAAACAAAAAAGGTTTTGTCAAATTAGAAATGGTAATCTCTGTTAAAGACATTTGCCCCAACCCTCTCCATTTTTCTCACTCGCTTAAATGGGATGGTGGGTCAAATCAATGAGCCAACTTTGGCCCGCATGTCCTACTTTGAACATCTCTGCTTCAAAGTGATAGTTCAAACCAAAATGAAAATTCTGTCAACATTTACTTATTCACTTTTGAATTTCTTTCTTCTGTTGGACTCAAAAAGAAAAAAAATAAGAAAAAGCTGGAAACCTATAACCATGAACTTTAATAGTATTGTTTTTCAGGTTTCAGCTTTCTTGTGTTTAAAGAGGAAAAAAGTCATAAAAAGTTTTTAACCACTTGAGGGTGAGTAAATAGTGAGTCAAATTTCATTCAACTACCTCTTTAACTACATTTACCCCTAGCCAATCACTATTTGTAAACGATGGACCCTTTTCAAAAGATTGTTATGATGCATTTAACGATCATTATAATCTTAAATCCTTGAAAGTTTTTAATATTTAGATTTTTTTAAGTGTACATACATTTTATGTATTCAGGTATGTTTTATTTAATCTTTGCATCACATTAAAAAAAATTAATTACTGCTTGTATGAGTCGTTTGTAATGCAGAGTCTTTGGGGCAGGACAATAAGTTTGACATAATTCTCTCTTCTGGCTGCCGTCATCAGTCTCACACTATTTTTTTTCTTTCCTTTAAAAGTCTAGATAACACCATTGTTGAGTTTTTCATTTATTATTTCAGCAAACAGAACTGTAAAAAATATTTGTTGTACACTCCCATTCACTGCACTCCAAGTTCAACTATGACAACTTCTGCTGAGAAAGCTGGAAATGTGAAAGGGTCCATTTTACCAATATTTTCTACCACACATACTCTTTATTTATTCCTAATCTTTTATTTCTCCCATGGTAAAATAATAGATGTAGTTTTATAGTTTTCAATTAATACGCTGGTTTTAAAATCTAGACATAATTGATATGCTGGTTTAGGTTTTTAAAAATAGTTTAACTTATTATAATAATGTTTCATTAACTATTATTTTAAGTTTATATAGGCCTATCTGTTTTTTTAAATCAGCCATCACATGCTCCATGACATCATTTGTGACATTTCAGTTCATCACGAGGAAGTGCATAACAGGAAGAAGGTTAATTTAAGCACATGAAGCCTTTCTAAAACAGATAAGAGTAGTTTAATAAGTTTAATAAGTGTATGTGTTCAAGGAAAGGACCAAATGAACACGGGAAGTAAGTAATGAAAAACTTCTCAAAGTCAAAAGTAATTAAAATTACTTTTAACGAAATGATGAAAATGACAAGGGAAACCCCAATGTAAAGAAGAAAACCATTTCCATAACCACACAAGGAAGGGAAAATTCCCTTTCACTGATCCAGCTGCTAAAATAACAAACAAAAGACAGCTGTGCACATTTCTGAATGTAAACAGATCATTGGTATCTCCAATAAAGTTGTGAATCTACTTGCTATTTTAACTTTAATGGATGGATTTCCACCCAGACTGTAGATCAAAGGTGTCAAACACAGTTCCTGGAGAGCCACAGCTCTGCACACTTTGACAGTCCTGCTGTAGATATAGACTGTTCTGTATTCTTCCTGTGTGTTTTTGTATGACGGTGCTAGTTTTGTATTGATGTCAGGTATGGACCGTGTCGCTCAGCTCTGTGTTCCTGCTGTGTGTTCTGCAATCTCACGCCCAGCAGGATTATTCAGGGTTACTTTCAGGTGAGAGTACCTCATGACAAAGAAAGGTAACACTTCATTTTGATGACCCATTTGAGTATTAGTAGACTGTCTGCTTAATATCTGTTGATACTGTTCCCTTAACAGACATTTAACTGACTATAAGAAACTTTGCAAGTACATGTCAACTTACACTAACCCCAACCTAACAGTACTTATAATCTAATGGGAATTAGTTGACATGCAGTTGCAATGTAATTTAAATTAAACAAACGGACCATCAAAATAAAGTGTGACCCAAACAAATAGCAAATAAAACATTTAAATGGCAGATTTACATTTCCTAATTTCTTTTCCAATCCCAGGAGAGCGCATGTATGAAGGCTCCATAGCTGAACGATATGATGAACATTCTGGATACAAATACAGAGGTAACTGAGATATTACTGTTCCCACCCACATCACACACAAAATAGTTGTGCCATATTAATATACTTGTTATTGTAATATTCCCTTTTTACTGTAACTACAACAAAGTGCAAACTAAAATTGATTTAAAAAAAGAATACAAATGTAATTATTAATAATAATAATAATAATAATGGTTTATAAGTAGATGCAGTTCACATGAAGCATGCATATACTGTACTGGCACATCCTTGTAGCTTTTTGGATACTGTATTTAATTTATGCTTAATGATACAAAAACATGCATGTTGTATTTATGCAATATGTTAATATACAAACAAACTACATAAGCTTGTAGTTGTGAGGGGGAAAAGGCTGTAATTTGAAAGCTGTAAACAAAGAATTTGGAAAAGAAGAAAAAAAGCACTTGGACAAATTTAAATTCTGAAAAAAAAAAAAAAAAACATTTTGTTCAATGAATTATCAAATTCAGGGAAAATATTGGTAAAATATTTTTCAGATTCCCAGTATACAGTTATTTACTTGCGGTGCTTAATATAATTTTTTGTATTAATTATACAGTTGAATTCAAAATTAGTAGCCCCCCTTTGAATTGATTTTTCTTTTTTAATATTTCCCAAATTATATTTAACAGAGCAAGGACATTTTCACAGTGTGTCTGATAATCCGGAGAATTTTCATCCGGAGAAATATTTTTTCTTCTGATTTGTTCTATTTCAGCTAGAATAAAATCAGTTTTAAATTTTCTAAAAAACATTTTAGGGACAAAACTATTAACCCCTTTGAGCTATATATTTTGATATTCTAAAGAACAAACCATTGTTACACAATAACTTGCCTAATTGCCCTAACCTGCCTATAACCCAATTAACCCAGTTAAGCCTTTAAATGTCACTTTAAGCTGTATAGAAGTGTCTTGAAAAATATCTAGTAATCATAGCATCATGGCAAAGATAAAATAAATCAGTTATTAAAAATTAATCATTAAAACTATTATGTTTAAAAAATGTGTTGAAGAAATCTCTCTGAGGTTAGGGAAAAAAATAAACAGGGGGGCTAATAATTCTGACTTCAACTGTAGGTCTAACTCCTGAGAAAATATGCCAGCTAGGTTTCTGCTGGTATCAAATTTATATTGTCTTGTTGCAGTTAATTGCTGAAGCTTTTATCACAGTATACAGTACTATTACAATGACCTAAGCAGTAAAAATTATTATTTTAACAGGTAAAATAACCAAGAAATGCTTAGTGTATTGTTTTATTGCATATGCAGACAAAATAAATGTTTGAAACAAATGACTAATCTCATTAGTAAACATTATTTAATGCATTTAAATCAACAGTGAGAATCAACCATTTTTTAGATTCATGGTAAAGTTAATAAAAAAAAGACTAAAATCTGAATCTTATATAAATAAAACGACGGTTTTTGATTTTAACGTGTTATTAGACATTAGTGAAATGAACATCAGCTAAGATTAATAATTGCTTTTGTAGTAAATGAACAGATGTTAACAAATAGAGTCTTACTGTAAAGAATATATATATATATATATATATATATATATATATATATATATATATATATATATTTTTTTTTTTTTAAGATTTATTTTTGGCCTTTTTGCCTTAATATTAATAATATACAGTATGAATATTCCTCAAAGGCAATTCCTAAAAGTTTAAATAATTAATAATTATCCACTGTAAGTGCCCACCATATCTGTATTGTGCATGTTCATTATCATGATATGATAGATTATTGAACAACAGCATGTTTAATGCCAACTTAAATGCAAAAATGCAAGTTCAGCATGTCTCATTCCTGTTAAACTCTCTGAAAAAGAAACTTTTTTTTTCTTTATCATGACAGGTGATCAAATAAATTTGTCCTTACACTCAGATATAGACTTATATATAGAACTGCCAACTTATCCAGCATATGTTTTACACAGAGGATGCCTTTCCAGCTGCAACCCAGCTCTGGGAAACATCCATACACACTCATAAACACATACACTACAGCCAATTTAGCGTACCCAATTCACCTATAGCGCATGTCTTTGGACTGTGGGAGAAACCGGAGCACACTGAAATGCCAACTGACCCAGCCGGGGCTCGAACCAGCGACCTTCTTGCTGTGAGGCAACAGTGCTAACCACTGAGCCACCATGTGGCCCTAAAGAAGCATCATAAATATTTTTTGGAGTGTATCCAGTAAACTGCAGTCAGAAGAACTTAATGGCTTAGTGTCTCTTATCTTCTTCCTCAGTTGATTATCCTGCAGAGTCCAAACGCGGCAGTGAAGACGAGCTCTCAGCATCTGGATTTGACCCATACGCCCCTGCAGGCACCATGGTCACCATGATCACTGAAGAAACCTACCCATACTCCACAGGAGAGGAGTCTTTTGATTACGCCAAAGAGGACAAAACCTTGATGACACAGGTCCCATATGGAGGAGATGCTGAGTTGGGACAGGAGGGACCTACAGAATGTGACTGTGAACCAGGAGAGCCTGGATTTGGAGGCTTTGCGGGACCTAAGGTTGATAAATGATGTGCCTTCGAATCATTTAAACACTGACCTACCTTTAAAGTTCTATGTACACTGTTAATAAAAATTTAGTAAATTGAATTGTTTTTCTCTATAATATGAACTGTATTTTACTCAGTTATGCAGTATGTTACTGTATTTTAAAGTTGCATTGTGAAAATGACTGCATATTTTACAGTAAAGATATACAATACTGTAAATACTTATACAGCATGATAAATAGTACTGTAAATCTGAATACAGTATCCTTGCTGTAATTGATTTACTGTAAGTTACTAGTGAACTGCTGCCAGTTACTGTAGATTCTACAGGATTTTTTTAACAGTGTATTCTTCAATAATTGCTTTGTAGGGTTCAAGGGGTCTACAAGGGAAACAGGGCTTCCCTGGAGTTCAAGGAAGGGAGGTAAGAACAAAACAAGATTTTAAAGTTTATGGCATTATGTAGCATTTCACTGACAGTGTTAACATAAATAATAAAGATGTATGAGACTGCAAAATAGTTTAATAATCATAACTGAAAAATCCTCAAAATATGGAGATTTTTTTATTTTATTCAAACTTTTTTGTCAAAGTGTGTTTTTTGCTAATATATTGGCTGGTTTTGGCCTGTCACAGATAAATAAATGACCAAACCAAGCACATAAAACACCAGTAGGTAAAATTGCTCCATATGCACTTGATCAATCCCATAATGCACCGCAGTAATGAATGTACAACTATCAATGTACAGTCAACGCTTATAGAGAATACCCACAATGCACCGTGAGAGTTCACACTCTGAAGGAATTTCCACATCTTTCTACAAGATGGCATCCACAGTCAAATCTTATTTTTAGATAAATTAGTTATTTGTTAAATTAACATTTTTCCCAGTGATGGGTTGTGGCTGGAAGGGCATCCGCTGCATAAAAACATGCTGGATAAGTTGGCGGTTCATTTCGCTGTGGCGACCCCGGATTAATAAAGGGACTAAGCCGAAAAGAAAATGAATGAATGAATTAACATTTGTATATACAACCAAAATCAAAATATTGTGTTCATTACTAATAAACAGCTCGCTAAGTGTTAAATAACTATTGAGTTTTACATACAATCCGTCATAGAGGATATATCAACCAGTAAAGCACAAATAAAAGCAGCATCCGGTCCAGTGCTTTCATCAGATCGTAAACATTTTTTCTTTCATATAAATCGTTTTATTAGTGGAGATTTTAGATACAGTTCTTTAACAATACTAAACTAAATCTTTCATTCAAATGATTCGTTTTAAACAGCTGATTCATTTAGAAACAAAAAATAATGTTTTCATGAATGGATCATTGAATCTATTAATTTAAAAGCAGATTCATACAGGAAATACAGTAATACACTTAGTATTACTACTTGTATGGTCAACTATTGTATAAAGACAATATCACACTTTCGATGTGCTGATAATTGAGAGAATTGTGCAGTTACTTGTGTGATATTTTTACTGAGTTAACTATGTACTATACTATACTATACTAAAACTATATACTACATACTACAAAAACCCATACAGGGATATATATATATATATATATATATATATATATATATATATATATATATATATATATATATATATATATATATATATAATGCAATTCAGACTTTTGCACACATGAACTGCTTTTGCACAGATTTTTATATTTTTAAAGCATGTTGGAAGGATTAATAAAGTTTAAAAAATTATAGCAAAATTAATGGCTGTCATTCATTTAGGGTTACAAAGGGACAAAAGGAGTGCGAGGAAGAGGCGGAGACACTGGTCCTGAGGTAAGCAAAAGGAAATGTTGAAGCCGCATCTTGTTTAGAGGTCTTCTATGAGACATGGAACTGCTGATTTAATACATTCTTTAGCTTACTAGCCTTACTTTCTTTAAACTTAGGGCGACTCTGGGCTTGATGGAGAGGATGGTGCATCTGGCTTCTTTGGTGCAATTGTGAGCAATACATTTTTCAAAACGTTTTAAAACTTTACCATTACAGAGGTTGTTTTTTGTTTAATGGCTCTTCTAAATGTGTAGTTTTCCTGTTCTTCATCATAGGGCCTTCCCGGTTTGCCAGGTGACCCAGGTGAAACTGGACAACTTGGAGTGAAGGTAACAGTCCACCCTTAAATCATTAGTAGAGAAGAGCAGATTTTGGTTATAGCAGCCAGCAGAGTGATACAGCCTTTTTATATTATAAATGAATAAAGCTATTCAGCATTTTTATGAAACTCCTAAAAAGATATGAATACACGCACAATGTTCAGCTGAAACTAACAAAGGCAGTAAAACACCAACATTCTTCCTTTTTGTTGTATTACATTTCTTTTTTGCATATTATATTTTATTTTTTGAAACCTGAGTGTTCTGGCCTTTTGAAATTAGCATAGAAGTACGGTAGCAGGCTTTGTTTCTAATGGACTTCATTTCACTCACAACCCCACAAAACTTTTGTTCCTTTTGTTTATTATAGAAATTTAAAGATGGAAATGATATCAAATTAAATTCTTCCAAAAATGAGAATCTTCAACAAAATTGCCCTCTTCAAGAGTACTGTCGTCATTTAACGCCTTTAAAAAGTGTATGACTAACAAATTGAAAATTAAAACAAGTAATATGTAAACTGAAATGTACACTTTCCAATGACTATACAGCACTGAAAACTGCAACCGATCGTTTCTGTTAGCTTTTAAAGGTTAGGTTTTTAAAAAGCTGCGTTGTCGTTTTTATCTCCTTCTGAGAGAGCTGAAAATTTTTACATCCATGAAATGTTTCTTTTAGTATTGTTTAAAAAAATAACTTTTCATAGTGGAAATATTGTTCAATATGATATTTAATGTGATTTATGATTTTTTAGTGCCATTCATTAAAACTGACTTAAAGAATATACAGTTGCATTCAGAATTGTTAGCCCCTCTTTGATTTTTTTTTTCATTTTCATATATTTCTCAAATGATGTTTAACAGAGCAAGACAGTTTTGACTTTAATTTTTTAAACACTATTTTAAGGTCAAAATTATTAGCCACTTTAAGCTATATTATTCCGATAGTCTACAGAACAAAGCATTGTTATACAATAACTTGCCTAATTACCCTAATCTGCCTAATTAAGCTTTTAAAAGTTACTTTAAGCTGTATAGAAGTGTCTTGAAAAATATCTAGTCAAATATTATTTACTGTCATCATGGCAAAGATAAAATAAATCAGTTATTAGAAATGAGTTATTAAAACTATTATGTTTAGAAATGTGTTGGAAAAAATCTTCTCGCCATTAAATAGAAATTAATTCAGGGGGGCTAATAATTTTGACTTCAACTGTATATGCAATTTACGATTATAAATTATTATTTTGTTAATTTATTTATGTTTATTTCATTATTTAAAGATTTAAGTTTATATATTAAGGATGTATGTTTATATATTAAGGTTTGTGTTCATAATTATGATGTATTTATCTATAATATTTGTGTCCGGCAGGGTGATATCGGAATAGAAGGTCCTCGTGGAGGAGTCGGTCTCCATGGAAAGACTGTGAGCAAAACAGCATCTTCTGTGACACATACCACCAGCAGGGTTTCCTCTCCACATTTCAGTCAAAGTTCGTCATTGTTGTAGCGACTGATGTAGACCACATATCTAAGATGATCTAGACCTCCACCTTATAAGTCAAATCTGCGTTTCTATTGTCATCTAAAACTCCTGTAGTTATCATGTAATATCGATAGCTGACAATTTTTTTTTAACCATGCATTTTTTTGTTTTGTTTCGTTGACCTCAGGGACCTGTTGGGCCAAAGGGTAAATCTGGAAAACTAGGAGGGAAAGGTGTTAAGGTAAGCCACTTTACTCTTTTGCAAATATTGTGATGTACTGAAATGTTTAAGGTCAGTCAACAGGTTCAATAGTAGTAGCGCTACTACTACTGCTTTACAGAAATATCCTCATATTTACAAATAATTTGAATATGTTTTTTTTTGCTTTATCTATTACCATAATTTCATAGAACAGGAAGGAAGTTAATAACAAAAGTAAGGTCAACAAGTATGTGTAGGTGTCAACAAGTGTGTTGCTGAAGGGCACAAAACTCCTCCAGAGGGACTGTCCCTGCAAAACGCTTCTGCTAAATGACCACACTCTTGAGCCGTTAATAATCTCACATTAGTTAGAAAAAAAACTGATTTAAAATATCTGCATTATGTCAAATGCTTCCCTATTCAGATCAAATGTCATGAGTTTCATTTCCCAATCGGGGGAGGTTTGTTTATCTGCATTTGTTCTCAACTTCTTTCAGTTGAAATATAGTTGTGGAACTGTGTGGGTAGGTGGCATCACATGTGAAGAGAACCGTGACCTGTCATGGAATATTTCAACGTTTCACAATTTTATCTAAAAAAATATGGGTAAAAGGCTAAAAGAGGCTTTTAAGCATTAATAGTGTTACAATGTTATAAACAAAATAGTAAAAAAACACCTTATGAATCATATTTAAAACAAAAATGACTTGATGATATGTTTGTAGTTTCCATTTAAGAGTTACAATATGGCACAAAAATACTAATTACTAATCATTTTAAATCAATTTACTTTCAAACCGCTACATTTGAGCTATCTGTCAGTAAAATGTTTAGAAAATAAGATTTTTGTTATTGAGGACATTATTTTGCATGAATAATCTGTTTAACTGATTGACATTTAAGCATAGTTTCACCCATATTTTGACCTTTTATTTTTACTAAATTTAAATTAAACCGTTTCATTACATTTACCATACACTTGTATTTAAAAACATGGAGACGGGAAAGTTTTCTTTTCTTTGACTTGATACATATTAGAAGTCTCCCTCCTGTGAAATTTTAATTCCCTTTCAAATATTTCCGAGGTGATGTTTATCAGATCAAAGAAATTTTCACAGAACTTCCAATAATATATTTTTCGGGGGTGGGGGTTAAATAAAGTGAACATCCTGACCGCACGCACACGCACACGCACACACACACACACACACACACACACACACAAACACAAACACGAACACACACACACGCATTTGCTGAAGTTCTGGAAGGTTTCTGTGCCTTACTTAGGAGATTGAGGCCAACTTACTAACCATTAGGCCACAACCGTGAGAACAAACCAATGTTGGTGGTATAACTTGCCTAATTATCCTAACTATCCTAGTTATTGTAATAACCTACTTAAGCCACTAAGTTAAATAATAGCATTTTGCAAAATATGTAGACAAATATTATTTGAAATCATGGCAAAGAGAAAATAAATTAGTTTTTAGAAATTAGTTATTAAAAATATTGAACTTCTCTCCATTTAGCAACACTTGTTAAATAGTTTTTTAGAATTACAATTTCACAGGAGACCAAATCATTTTGACTTCAACTGTATATTGATTGAGTTTTTTTAAAATTGCATTACATTTTCTATTTTACAAAACTTTAGTCGTTGCACTGCATTGAATAAAAATGCTGGGAATGAATGTTTTAAGTACAAGTTAATATACGTGAACATATTAGCCCACAATAATGACATTTTTAATAATATTAAATGATAATAATAATAATGGCGAGGCAGTGGCGCAGTAGGTAGTGCTGTCGCCTCACAGCAAGAAGGTCGTTGGGTCGCTGGTTCGAACCTCGGCTCAGTTGGCGTTTCTGTGTGGAGTTTGCATGTTCTCCCTGCCTTCGGGTAGGTTTCCTCCGGGTGCTCCGGTTTCCCCCACAGTCCAAAGACATATGGTACAGGTGAATTGGGTAAATTGGCCGTAGTGTATGAGTGTGTGTGTGTGAATGTGTGTGTGGATGTTTCACAGAGATGGGTTGCGGCTGGAAGGGCATCCGCTGCGTAAAAACCTGCTGGATAAGTTGGCGGTTCATTCCGCTGTGGCGACCCCAGATTAATAAAGGGACTAAGCCGGCAAGAAAATGAATGAATGACTGAAAAATAATAATAATATTAATAATAATAATATTTAATAAAAATGTTCACATTGTCCTCAGTGATGTGAAGATACTCTCCAAAACAGTAACTAGTAGCATTAGTTACTTTTTATAGTAAGTAATGCACTACATTACATTGAGTTACTTTTGAGATAGTTTTCTTACCTGGCTGAGGCTTGATCTCATTCAGAACTTGCACGTTTTCTTCTTCTTCTTTTATAGAGAAGCTCTGCAATTAGCAACACAACAATAAAACAAATTAGAAAATAATAATTTAGGATAATTTTGCTCTTTTGAGAACCTCTTGACCATACATGTATAGCATGTACACTACCTGAAAAAAGTCTTGGTGTCAATCCCAGTTGTAAGAGCAACAAATAATAACTTTATAGTTTTTCTGGATGAATCATCTGTTGAACTGCATCTTAATCATCACAAATACTGCAGAATATCTACTGGAACCTGCATGAGCCAGGATTCTCACAGAAATTAGTCAAGTTTAGTGAAGGAAAAATCATGGTTTGGGGTTACATTCAGTAAGGGAATGTAATCTGCAGAGTGGATGGCAACACCAACAGCCTGACGTATCAAGACATTTGTGCTGCTCATTACATTAAAAACCTGCAGCAGGATAGCGCTCCTTCTCATACTTTAGCCTCCACATGAAAGTTCCTGAAGGCAAAGCAGGTCAAGGTGCTCCAGGATTGGCCAACCCAGTCATCAGATGTAAACATTATTGAGCAAGTTTGTGGTAAGATGAAAGAGGATGCATTGAAGATCAATCTGAATAGAAATAAAGAATCTTGATGAACTCTGGGAGTCCTGCTAGAAAGCTTATTAATAAGTGATTTGAGTCATTGCAGAGATGTATGGATGCAGTCGTTCAAGCTCATGGGAGTCAAATACAATATTAAATCTTTTTCCACTGCACCATGACTTTATATTCTATACTGTACATTATTTCTGTTAAAGGACAAGAATTTTGTCTAAGCAAAGTCAGACTTTACTGTCTTAATTAATTAAAAATCAAGGCATGATCATATTCTATTTTGGTAAAATAAGCGTAATCTAGAGGCCTTTGTCTTTCATATTATCAACTAGAAGTCAAGTAAGGCTCTGGCTTGCCATCATAATTTCTGTCTATAATTTTCCGCAGGGAGTGCACTTTCTCATTGAGCATGACAACATTCATTTTGTGACTACATTCATTTTAATTCAGCAATTTATTTTTTCAAAAGCTAATTAATTAAACCAAATTAACTTACTTAAATCTAAATCAAATATATATTTATTTATTGTTTTTTATTGCATTATTTTACTCATTAATCACAAAAGTAATATTATTAGTAACTCAAGTAGGATCAAATTCCAGTTCAGTCTAGACTCATCTAGAAAGTATAAAAAAAGAACTGAGGAGTCTCCCCATCTCTCAACAGGGTTCTGTCGGCAAAACAGGAAAACAGGGACCTGAGGGACGACAGGGACAGAAGGTTGGCTACAAGACTTACAGGCACATTTAATTCACAGACTAAGCGTTATTAGTATGTCACACTTTATTACATCTCCTATTACTCCTGCTGACTCAACCCTAATTATCTTTTTGCATCATCAGGGACAGACAGGAGCACCTGGATTCTCAGGAGACCGTGGAGAGCAGGGTTACTTGGTGCCAACTTTACTCATAATCTTTTTCTTTTTATTACTGTGCTACAAGGAACTTCCCTGTAGTAATCTGAATATCACACTGTTTTGTTATCAGGGTTATACGGGAGTTCCAGGAGACCGGGGGCGGACAGGACCAAAGGTCTGTTATAATAAATTCGTTGATGAAGGTTATCAGTGAAATTTCCCCTAGTCTTGTGTACTCTTTGTCAGTCATAATGTTCTATAAACACTTAATATTTGACAGTTAAAATTAGAGTTCTAACTAAACACTTTGCCTCTTATTTTCTATTTCTCTCTGGTATCTTCAGGGAAGTAAAGGTACTGGTGGCTTACCAGGAAGTGACGGAGAGCCAGGAGAGGATGTGAGTGGCAAATGGCTTTTGATGCAAATGTTGTAGTTCAGTAAAATAAAAAGAAAATCCATATGTTTTGTTTCTGGGAAAAGAAAAAGCAAAAAGTTTTGTATATTTTTCAGGGCACTGTGGGTGTTCCAGGAGTTGTTGGGGTTCCAGGGGCTTTTGGACCTAAGGTAAGAAAAGATTTTTAGAAAAAACAAAATAGGGCGGCATGGTGGCTCAGTGGTTAGCACTGTCGCCTTACAGCAAGAAGGTCAATGGTTCGAGTTCCAGCTGGGTTTTTTGGTGTTTGTGAGTGGAGTTTGCATGTATGTTTGCGTGAGTTTCCTCCGGGTGTTCCGGTTTCCCACAAAGTCCAAAGACGTGCAGTACAGTTGAATATCCCAATACTTTACTGCGTAAAACATATGCTGGATAAGTTGGCGGGTCATTTCGCTGTGGCGACCCCAGATGAATAAGGGACTAACCTGAAGGAAAATAAATGAATAATAAAAACAAAACACTAAAATTGACAGCATACATGCTCTCGGGCCAGATTATTATGTCAACTGCTTCATCAACTGCTTGCTAAAGAATGTAAATAATTAAGACAATCACATGGCAATAACTTAATGGATTTACGCATTCAAACCGCCACCAGAATGAGAAAGAAGTAGGATTTGAGTGACTTAAATGTACTTGTCTTGCTGATGTCAAACTGTCTGGTCTGAGTATTTCAGAAACTGCTGACCTACTGGCATTTTATGCACAGCCATGAGGGATATTAAAAGAATAGTTCAACCAAAACTAAAAGTTCTATCTTTTACTTGCTTTTGACTTGCCAGAATCTTGTTAGAGTTTGTTTGTTTTCTGTTGAACACAAAAGAAGGGGGTTCCAGCTGGTTTGAGCCTGGGTCAGTTGGCGTTTTTGTGTGGACTTTTGCTCCGGGTGCTCCGGTTTTCCTCAGAGTCCAAACACATGCGCTATAGGTGAATTGGGTAAGCTAAATTGTCCGTAGTGTATGTGTATGAATGAGAGTGTATGGGTGTTTCCCAGTGATTGGTTGCAGCTGGAAGGGCATCTACTGTGTAGAATTTATGCTGGATAAGTTGGCGGTTCATTCCTCTGTGGTGGCCTCTGATTAATAAATGGACTAAGCTGAAAAAAAATGAATGAATAAATAATACTTATTAAATGAAATGAACAATTGCAATGAACAAATGAGCAATTTATTCGTTGGAATTGTGTCTATCTGAAAATCTAAATGTGTGTATTTAATTTGAAAGTAATCTTCAATTCCAAACATAGCAAAAAGTTTATGAAATTCCATCTTCCCGTTTCTCTTTCTCTTCAGGGTATGAAAGGGGATCGTGGTCTGAGGGGGCGAACTGGACGAGTAGGATCTGTGGTGAGCTACTTTAAATCTTAAAATCTGCTTTAAAGGGAATTTTAAAGGAAACAGGAATCATTTTAAGCCAAATACTAAAGGCTAGTCAGTTAACCGGCATGTGATCAACTCTACATCTAAACAAAGTATTACTCTGGTGATGAACAACATTACTGCGGTACATTGGAAATCACCTGGTGTTCTTTTTCTGTGGATTATGTTACTAGTCAGAGGTAAAGTCCCTAAATGGGGATTTACCAGACTGTACCAGAAAACGAAACTGAAACTACGTTCAGGCGGTGCTGTATTTGTAGATACTGTAACAGTTTCACTTCATCAGAGCTGTTGTCTGAACTAGAATAGCAACATTTATTTCTCATATAGTCTGATTTTTATTTCATTTTGTCACCATTAAAGTATAAAACAAAATAAACATGTCAATTAATCTGACACTATAATAGGGATTAAGATCTCACCTCTTATTTATAACAAACAGTAATAGTAAACATTTTTTAATACTGATTTTGAGTATCATAAACTTCTAATTCTTTTCTCCCTATTAAAAAAAGCATGTTTGAGGTTGTTTTTAATGTCCATTTTAGGGTCCACAAGGAGACAGTGGAGATGCAGGGATTTCAGGGAAACCCGGGCCAAAAGGCTTGCCTGGACCAACAGTATGCAACAAGATTTACTTTCTGCATGATTCACCAGCTTTTGAAATCCTTACTTTCACTATTTGTTGCTTTTAAAGTCTGATTAATGATGACTAGTTTCAATCTAGTCATCAATCAGAATGTAATGTTGTTTAGAAGTGTATAGTTAAAATAAATCCCAAATGATTCATTATTAAATGTTCTGATCTGCAGGGTGCCAAAGGGGAAACAGGACCAGATGGTGAAAAGGTAAATTCAAAGAAATAATATTTAGGAGCCAATTACATACAAAGATGTCACCAATGTCACCAAAATGAATTGAATTTTTGATTCTTTTTATATCAGTTACAATCAAATATATTTTTCTAACTCTCTCAGGGGTCACTGGGACGAAAAGGAGGAAAGGGTGCTAAAGGAGATAAGGTACAACCGTCAGAATGTGAACTAGCCATTGTATTTTCTGTTCCTGTTTCCATTACACTAGCCAGTTTGCATTTTAACCACAGTGTCGTCATTTCACCTCATAGGGAGACGCTGGATCTCGTGGTGACAAAGGGCAGGTTTGTCGTCACTTTTAACGTTATACAATACGTTTTACGTCAGCGGTTCTCCACAAGCTCATGATGATGTACAAAGACACAGGTTTGAATCTTTCTGTGATCATCGTCAGTCTCAACATCCCTAGTATTCATTGTCCTTAAGTACAAATATCTCAACAAACAAAACTCATACAAAACTTTTTTTTGTTATTATTAAATTACGCTTATAATTATAATAATTATATTATAGATTTTTTTCATGTCACATTATTATTTTTTGGAAACAATTCTAATATGATTATTTGGTTGTCATGAGATATTTATCATTAAAATAAACCAAAATCAGAAAAAGTTGGTACAGTAAGGAAAACGGAAAGAAAGTAGTGTTTTCTAAATTTACTTTGACTTGTATTTCATGTTCCTTGTGATTTAAAAAAAAAAAATTCTCGAAAATAAACACGTTTTTTTAACTTTCACTTTCACTTTTGATCTATTCTGTATACAGGGTTTCTGCAAATATGAGACTTTTAAAGACACTTTAAAGACCATTAATAATGAAATTTCAGACTTTTACAGGACAAAACGCTAAAGATTTTTTTGTAATGGCCAGTGGAATATTTTTTCACTTGCCGCATTAATATAAAAGTTCAGTTAATTCTTCGCCACATATTTTAAATCAATGCTCTCAAACTCAATTCCTGGAGGGCCACAGCTCTGCATAGTTATCTTCAACCACCTCAAACTCACACCTGCTTAATAGTCTTAAGGAGTCTTGAACACCTTGATAAGTTGGATCAGCTGTGTTTAATTAGGGTTGGAGCAAAACTGTGCAGAGCTGAGGCCCTCCGGGAATTCAGTTTGAGACATATATTTTAAATAATATTTCAAAACAAACATACACATATACAGCTGAAGTCAGAATTATTAGCCCCCCTGAATTATCAGCCCCGTTTATTTTTTCCCCCAGTTTTCTGTTTAACAGAGAGCAGATTTTTTCAACACATTTTTAACATAGTAGTTTTAATAACTTCTCTAATAACTGTTTTATTTTTTTCTTTGCCATCATGACAGTAAATAATATTTATAGAAAATATTATCAGACATTTTGTGAAAATCTCTTAGCTCAGTTAAACATCATTTGGGAAATATTTAAAAAAAGAGAAAAAAATTCAAAGGGGGGCTAATAATTCTGACTTTAACTGTGTAGGTTTCCCTCATAAGTCCAATGACATACGCTATAGGTGAATTGGGTAAGCTAAATTGTCCGTAGTCTATGTGTGTGAATAAGAGTATATGGGTGTTTCCTAGTGATGGGTTGCAGCTGGAAGGGCATCCGCTGTGTCAAACATGTGCTGGATAGGTTGGCAGTTCATTCTGCTGTAGCAGGGACTAAGCCGGAAAAAAAATAAATGAAAATGGTACAGTGAATGTCCTGGTCCTCCAGGTTAGGGGCTGAGCAATGGGCTAAGGACCAACCTCGTAAAAATGAGATGTTATGAAACACCAACATGATGCAGCTAAATATCTAATTTCCACATAAAGGCCCTGGGAGTAAGTAATTATATATATATATATATATATATATATATATATATATAATATATTATAATTTAGCATTTTTAGTTTTCTTTAAAAAAAAGATGTTTTAAAATCTATAATAAACTAAACTGATAAATTCACAACATACATTTATGTATAAATACATGGAGAACTTTAAAACAAAGGATGTAAGGAAGATAATACACCATATTGGAAAATAGTTCGTTAATTGTACTTAGGTAGGTTTTTATAGATGGATTGTTGGTTGTACTGATTGGGTAGTAGATAAAGGAAAATTATGGCCTGTTTTAAAGTATTTTTAATTACATTTTTCATTAAATAATATAATTAAACATTTTAATTAAATAATTAAAACCAGCAGACTGAGGAACAGCTTTTTCCTCAGAGCGATCTCCCTTTTGAATTCAGCCCCCCACTAATCTTTTGCCCCCTCATACACCCCCACACCCTCCTCATGACTTACACTCCCCATAATCACTGCACTATTTAATATGTGCACATTTAAAAATTGCACATACATCGCACTACATTGCACTAATTCATGTTTGAGTTGTACATACTCACTCTACATATATATTTGTAATTATGTTCGTTTCTATCTGCACACTTCTGATTATTAATAACAACCTGTACATATATTCATCTCTTGTAAATCTTTGTTCATAGCTAATACAACCTGTATATAATGTTCATAGTACGTCCATCTGTAACTGCACTTTATAACTTAAACCGATATCCTGCACTTGCTGCTACTGCACTGCTGGTTTAGGTTAGACGTAAACGGCATTTCGTTTCTTTGTACTTGTACATGTGTAATGACAATTAAGTTGAATCTAATCTAAAAAAGCATTTAAGACATACAACCCCATATTTCAGTGAATTTAAGACTTTTTAAGGCCTAAAATTTAGTTTTTGAAATGTACGATTTTTAAAGATCCTGCAGACACCCTGATGTAGCACTATTGTATTGAATTAATTATAGAAGTTATTAAAAAAGTGCAAAAAAAAAAATAACTTCTAGTAAAACATTACTTAATGTGTTGTAGCATGGAGTGAAGGGCCGACTGGGCCGTGATGGACTTGCTGGTCCTATTGGACCTCCTGGTCTGCCTGGTCCCAGAGGAGATGAAGGCCCTCGAGGAGACCTGGGAGACAAAGGACAGAGCGGCCCAAAAGGAGAGCCAGGTGAAATTGTGCGTATCACATCATCATTATCCACCAGCAAGAAACAAGTCCAGCTTTGAGTTCTCTCATGAAACATGTAGTATAACTCACTGCGTACAGGGTCCGGGACTGACGGATGAGCAGATCCTGCAGCTTTGTCAAGGTGTGGTCATGGCTCAGATCTCCCAGTATGCTTCATCCATACGTGCCAAATGCGTTCAGGGCTGTCCCGTCAACAACCGTACCCTCATCGGACCCCCAGGAGGCACGGGGCCACGTGGAAGTCCAGGCAAAGCTGTGAGCAGAAATAAGAGATGATTAAAATCTTTTCCAGGCACTCTTACAGTACTTCAAATAAAGTGTGTATTTCATTGGATTCAGGGTAAAGCAGGAAAGACGGGTGCTAAAGGTGAAAGAGGCCCTCAAGGCATCAAAGGAGTCGAGGGCCAAAAAGGAGCTCCAGGAGAAGCTGGTACTGCAGTGATATGATTATTATTATAATTATTAGTGGTTTAATGCTGTTTATGCATATACAGATGAGCTCTCTGTGTTTCTCTAAAGGTGCTAAAGGTCAGAAAGGACAGAGAGGTGATGCTGGCAAAGGTCTACCAGGACATGATGGTCACCAAGGCCTCAGAGGTACTGGGTTTTTTGGTCTGTCAATTCAGGTGGTTTCCGTAATCTGATTCTGTTGGAAAGTTTGTTTGTTGAGATTGTTTGCTTTTATGAATATACAATGGTGATTGAATGCAAAGGAAAACACTTGTTCTGAGATAAAGTGATAAACTTTAGCCTAGTAAACTCTGGAATGGTTTTGTTGTGGTGGGAGTCATAATAGGGAATGTGTTGAATGAATGTAAAGCAGAGCAAACCTTGATCTTTAGAAATATTTATATGCATATAAACACAGCTATGGAAATTCTGCTTTAATTTCTCGTTTAATTTCTTTACACATTTGTTGACAACATTGGTTGGTGTAATTGGTAACTACTGTAAAGACGGGTAATTAAGTAATTAAGTAACTACTGTAATTAAATGAAGTTTTAAATTAAGATAAGCTGTAAAACAACAGATTAATTTTTTTGTCGGGTGATTTTTATTGTTTACTTACAATATACTTGCCTTAAATACTGTACAAATACTGTTGAAGTCAGATTTATTAGCCCCCGTTTATTTTTTCCCAATTTCTCTTTAACGCAGAGCAGATTTTAACACATTTCTAAACATGATAATAACTCATTTCTAATAACTGAATAATTTTATCTTTGCCATGATGACAATAAATAATATTTGACTAGATATTTTTCAAGACACTTCTATACAGCTTAAAGTGACATTCAAAGGCTTAACTAGGTTAACTAGGCAGATTAGGGTAATTAGGCAAGTTATTATATAACGATGGTTTGTTCTGTAGAAAATGGAGAAATATATAGCTTGAAGGGGCTAATAATATTACCTTAAAATGGTGTTTAAAAATTAAAAACGGCTAGCCGAAATAAAACAAATAAGACTTTCCCCAGAAGAAAAAATACTATTAGACATACTGCGAACATTTCCTGAATCTGTTAAACATCATTTGGGAAATATTTTAAAAAAGAAAAGAAAAATTCAAAGGGGGCTAATAATTCTGACTTCAACTATATCTGCAGTTCTGTATAAATCAACTCAGAGAAGCACAGTAATTGTGTTTTATGGTAAACAAAATTAATTTTGCAGAATAAATCCATTTTCTAACTAAAGTTCACATTCAACAGGACATGTTTACAAAAAAAAAGACTGAGAAATTAGTTCATGAAAAAATAAGATAGCTTAAGTCTTAAAAAAATAAGAAGCAGAGTAATTATTAGAGTAAATGGTAATTATTGCACTATATTCTTCAGATATTTTGCTTAATATCCTGGTTTTTAAATTAAAGATGGTTACATTTGTCAGACAGCACATGCTTAATACAAAAATAAGTAAGAAATGTATGTGCTTATGGTATGAATGAAATATAGTTTTACATTTTTTAATATGTTTTAACACATAATGTTTAACATTTAAAATAGTTTTCTTTTTAGATGAAACTAAAAAATCCTGTTTGTCTTACATTTAAACAATTAAATAGCTTTTTTATTGTCCATGTGCTGAAATTTCTATGAATTTTAAATAGTACTGAGTCAAGTAATTAAATTGACTAATTAAGTTACTTTTCAGACAATAATTTAAATAAAATTTTAATGATGTAATTGGTAAGTAATCTTTTTTTAAGTAACCTACCTAAATGAAACAGAAACTACCAGCACTTCCACTCATCAAGAATGTTTTGGTTTTACTATGAATAAATACATAATTTTATTACAAAATTACAACCCAAAAAGATGTTATAGTCATTAAACAATTGACATTAAATCTCAGCCAGTTTTTCACGTAATAATAACTCAATGAGGTTTTCACAAAAAATTAGGGAATTCCTGCATCACTTGATTTTCATTTTTTAATTTGACTGAAAGAAATAAAAACTTTCCAAAACCGTTGTTTATATAGATCAGTAACCTCTGACATGGCAAAAACTATCAACGGAAATTTGGTTTCTCTAATCATGATTCATTTTAAAGTCAAATTTTAGCTGATTTATTTGGGCAAAAATAGCAATCTGGGTCACATTATTTACATGTTTACAAATGTCAGTCAATTCTGTTTTCACACTAGCAGATACACTACTTACATAAAAAGAATATACAGTTAAAGTCAGAATTATTAGTCCCCCTTATTTTTTTTCCTTCTTTAAATATTTCCCAAATTATATTTAACAGAGCAAGGAAATTTTCCCAGTATGTCTGATAATATTTTATCTTCTGGAAGAGTCTTGTTTTATTTCGGCTAGAATTTTTTACAAATTTTTTAATATTTAAAATTTTTTAACAACCATTTTAAGGATAAAATTATTAGCCCCTTTAAGCTATATATATTTTTGATAGTCTACAGAACAAACGATAGTTATACAATAACTTCCCTAATTCCCCTAACCTGCCTAGTAAACCTAGTTAAGACTTTAAATGTCACTTTAAGCTGTATAGAAGTGTCTTGAAAAATCTAGTAAAATATTATTTCCTGTCATCATGGCAAAGATAAAAGAAATCAGTTATTAGAATTAAGTTAAAACTATTATATTTAGAAATGTGTTGGAAAAAATAACTTCTCTTCGTTAAACAGAAATTGGGGAAAAAATAAATGGGGCTAAAAATACAGGGGGCTAATAATTCTGACTTCAACTGTACATTTAATTTATCACTCCAAATCTACAAATATTTAGTTTTAGTAAGAAGACATTTGTGCTTCGTTTTTTGAAAACAGAGTATTTTAATTGTGGCAGGCAAAACACGAATGACAGTAGGAATACAATGCTAACTGATTGAACAAAATAAATGCAACATGCATCAAATATATTTCAGCATGAGTTTTTTTAACACTAATTTACATTTATTCATTAGATAGACGCTTTTATTCAAAGTGACTTACAAACGAAGATAAAAGTAGCTCTTTAAATAACCAAAGAGCAACAACAAGTTGATGCCATGACAAGTCTAAGTTTAGCAGTTTTTTTTTTTTCTTTAATTATTAACGCAAAAATTCTGCATTATCTTAAAGAAGATTTACACACTTGACTGCATAAATGGTCCACTTTGGTATGCTGTCCTTTAAAAGCAAACCATAAAAAATAAGCACCATTATACCAATCTAGAAGATGCATCATTTTAACAATTTAATTCTAAGTTTAATAAAAAAAACTCCAATAATAATGTGTGGTTAATTTCTCTGAACAGGACTACCAGGCCATCCAGCAGAGCCTAAAGCTGGAATTGAGGGCCCACGTGGACCCCGAGGGTTTCCAGGACCTGTGGGTCAGACTGGAATGGCCGGCAGTGCAGGAATACCAGGAGTGTGTGAGGCACGTGACTGCAGCATTCATGCACCTGTAGTGCGCAAGGAGATGGGACTGGTCAAAGGCCCCGGCAGCCAGGCCTAACAAACACTAACCCGGGATAAGAAAATTGCGCTGTCGATGAAAGATGTCAGAGAACGACAGACTGGAGATCAAAGATACAGAAATTACCAGCACTTTCATCGCTTTTCACAATGTTTTGGTTTCACTACGAATACAGTACAGACATGTAAATAATTTTGTAAAGCATCCTAAATCCACATCTGCTGTGTCCTGAAATAGCCTTTGTTTTGTTTTTCTTCACTGAAAATGAACTAAATTATTTAGACAAAGCAGTTTTGTTCAGTAGCTTCAACATATTTCTTTTCATTTTATCCATCAAGAGTAAATAAAGAGATGTTTTTTGTAAACGTGTTAAACTGTGGATCCCTGTGTGACACGAGTATAATGCAACCACAGCTTTTTTTTTCTCTGACCAGTGTTTATTAGCCATTTCTAACTTGGGACTTTTTCCTAATCAGTGTTTCTTAATAACTGGTTTGTAATAACTTAATAACTGTATGAATGCATTTAGGTGAATACATAATCATAATCAACTCTGATTCATGTTTTATATAAAGAAAAAAGCGCTTTAATTATAGGAAAATTTCATAGACAGTACACAGATATTTATAAGGGACATAACGGCAGTGTGTTTCAGTTTCTGTATATAGACTTGTTTTATACAGTGGTCCCAACTTTTTCTAAGATATTTTTGTATGAAATTATACACAACTTTTTATTTTTTGAGGGGGGAAATTACAGCAGCAATAAATAAAAATCTTGCTCATATAACGAGAAAATACCCGTTGACACCATTAAGCAGCACAAGTCAATGAGAACAAAGTCTTAGGAAAAGTTAATTTACAGTAACACTTTTGATATGATTTCGATTAAATGCTATCCAATAAATTAATGTCTTCAGTTTTACTGAATCTACAATAAAAGCCCCTGCCTTAAAAACAATCAAAAATAGTTAAAAGAGGTAGATATGATATAAAAAATAGGCAGCATATGAATGTAAAAAAGTGCAGTGTAAAGCTTGCTGGATGAATCTATTGCAGGACCTGTACAAATTGAGTGCTTTCAGACGAAGGATCTAAGCAAGCGGTTTCTGCTTCTGTTGTGCGTGCATACACATCCAGCAACCAGACATGCAATGATTATGACCATGGCAATTACTGACAGGATAGCACCTAAAAGAAATGACAGAAGAATTAAGCATTATAGTGTGTGCTTTGTTACTTAAGTCAATAATCCCATCCCAATTTTCTTAAGCGCATGGTACAAATTCCTAACACATACACCTTATTATTATTAATAATAATTTTGGAAGTGAAAAAGGCCTAGAATTCAAATGTACATGATTATTAAGCAGATTTCCAACAGGTCTTAATATTTTTAATACATTTTTGGGGCCTTACTTTTGTCATTTCCGTAACACTGCATCCTTCTTGTGGACATTTAATAATTTTTCACATTTAAATTAGAGTAAATCTAACTCTGGGCTATTTTATCTGTAAAAAAAATCAAGCCAAGTCGAGCTTTATTGTCATTTTGCTACATGTGTGGACATACAGAGGAACGAAATGTTGTGTCTGGCAGGACAACGGTGCAACATAGATTAATCATAAATACAAACACAACACTGGATATAAGAGCTGTTTTAAAAGAAAAAACTATGCATAACTAACATATACTATAAGATACTTAATTATACACATAAGACAGGCTATACAAGTACTTTTACATAGGACTGAACAATGCTGTGCAGGATGTTGTGCTAGAGAGGTATTAAAGGTGAATATTGTGCATAAGAGGTATTTAAGGTTAAATGATTGTGGCACATTTATATCAAACATCGTTTTCATTACTGAGTTCTTGTAAGATGGAGTTTAAATACTGTAAAGTGTCAGAAGAAAGACGAGTGTTTCTACAGGTGGTTTGTCAAGCCCACTCACCTGTACGAAGCACAATTTGAAATGCACAATGTTTCCAAGAGACATGATTAAAAAAGTGTCTATAGTGCAAATGTGCAACTTGGTGCAAGAGTCAGAGAGATGAGAGGGTGTCTTTTTTACAGGTGGTTTCTTAAGCACACTCACCTGTATGGGACATACTCAGGAATGCATGGGTGCTTAACAAAACAACTGTAGAAAAGACACCCTCTCATCTCTCTGACTCTTCCAAAGGAAACCTTTTCAGTAATAATGCACTGAATCTAATCATAGGGCATTTTCCTTTTCCAGTCCCTGTTACACGTATACATCACTTTAGATAACAATTAAAGATTATAAACAAAAAGTTATGATTTTGATGATGCCGTTTGGAATTTGTATATGATCAGAATACTGACTTGTATAATGACTATGCACACAATGAAGATTGCATTACCAAACACACAAAAACACAGTCTTCATTTTTATATTACCAGTGTGTTCTCTCGTCTCAGGCTTGTTCAGTGGTTGAGACATCATTATACCTAAAATTAAATAAAATGCGTAAATGCAGGTTACCAGAAAACAAACAACTCATCACTGGGAGACATTAAACTTACCATAGAAATGTATGAGGTGTTCAGTCAAGTGTTTCTTTAAAATGATACACACAAACAGTTCTAGTTAATGTGCTGAATGATTCATTAAATACATTCTTTGAGATGGACAGAAATAACTCACTCTTGAGCAGATGACAGAGAGTGTGACATTGACACAGGAGTCCAGTAGCATCTTTCCAGCGCTTAGCTCTATGCATGGACTGTGACACTCCGGGACCAATTTCAAAAGTGTGCCGATGGACTGAAGGAAAACAGCATGCAAGCTTTACAATACAGAACTTCTAGAATTTATGACTGAAAACAAATCTGTTGTCTACTTACACGTTCCTCAGCAGACCAGTGCTGGTCACAATCCAGGTTCTTCAAGGCGTATTCGGACTCTACATAGCGCAATTTCCCAGTGCAATTGTAGGTTTGTGTTGTCTCTGTGACTGTAGTGCACACTGAGAAAAGAAAGACATATTAAAATGAGCTATTGTTTCATCTAGAATAGCTCATGTTTATTATTATATGCGGCAGCACCGTGGCTCAGTGTTTAGCAATGTCGCCTCACAGCAAGAAGGTCGCTGATTCGAGTACCGGCTGGGTCAGTTGGCATTTCTGTGTGGAGTTTGCATGTTCTCCCCATGTTGGAGTGGGTTTCCTCCAGGTGCTCCGATTTCCCCCTCAGTTCAAAGACATGCGGCACAGGTGAACTGAATAAACTAAATTGGTCGTAGTGTATGTGTGTGAATGTGAGTGTGTAAAGATGTTTCCCAGTACGGGGTTGCACCTGGCAGTGCATCCGCTGTGTAAAACATATGCTGGATAATTTGGCGGTTCATTCCGCTGTGGTGGCCCGATGAATAAAAGGACTAAGCCGAAGGAAAACGAGTAAATGAATAGCTGTAGCGTATGTGTGTGAATGTGAGAGTGTATGGGTGTTTCCCAGTATTGGGATGCAGTTGGAAGGGCATCTGCTGTGTAAAGCATATGATGGATAAATAGGCAGTTCATTCCACTGTGGCGATCCCTGATGAATAAGGGACTAAGCCGAAGGAAAATGAATGAATGAATGATTATATGCTTTGGGTTGTGGGAAAAAGTGCCTCATAAATAAAATGTATCATCATTATTGATTGATTATACTGTAAATACTCAACAAATTACACTTGTTCAACTGATAAATGCAAATATATTTAGAGATTGAATATCAATCCAAAATCGGATAATTTTGCAACAAATATGTGCAATCTGGCATGATTGTTGATGGCACACTTGCTCATTCAAGTATTTCTAAAACTAATGATCTACTGGGATTGTCATGCACAAGTAACCATCTCTAGGGTTTACAGACAATGGTGAAAAACAGAGAAATTGTCCAGTGAGAGAGATTTCTAAATGCCTTGTTGAAAGGTCGAATAAGTTGTACCTAATAAAGTGGCCAGTGTGTATATTTATAAAAGAAACATGAGACGCAGCACATGAGAAAAGTCATGTGTATTTATCTTTTGTGCGCGTGTATGTGTTGTGTTTGTCTGTGTGTGGCGTAAAGCGTGACTCGGTTTGAAAGGACCGCGTAAACATTTGCCTGCTCACCAATAACATTGCGTCATGGGGAAATCCCAGAATTTCAAGGGACTTTTTTGTTAAAGAGTAACGTATCACTTTCCCTGGTAATTTGAAACACTATATGATTACATAAACCGAATCTAACATTTTAACAACTTTTGTAGTTTGTTAATAAAAATAATAAACAATACATAACAATAATAATGTATAATAATAACAACAATAATAATTGATAATAAACACTTAATAAAAGCATTCATTTCTCATCAAAACAACCATCTCGATCATGCCAAACTGACATAAACGGCAAAAATCATTAGCATGTGCAAATAATGATGCTAAATGCTAACGTTAAGCACCGTTTAACTTCGCCTATATGGCTAATGACACACGCAGAGGAGTCGGTTATTGTAATCGCTTAAAAAACAATACTCAGCGATAAAATAGCTAAATGATAAATAAAAGCGAGCTTACTATGCATAAAATAACTTACCAGGCAAAACTAACAAGGAGAGCCAAATCAAAGGGAGGCAAAACCTTATCCTGCCACAGCGCATGGTGCCAATCATAGTTAGATACAGTGTGAAATTGGTTTCAGTTTTTTTTTTTTGGATAATCTGACCACTCATGCCACAAACCCCTTGTGAGGGATTCCCTCACTGACACCCAACCACGTGCTTTTCAGTTTAAGGAAGTAGGTGAAAGTAAAACTGCTTCATACATACTATATAAATGAAGTTCAAAATCAACTAGCTACAGCTTGGCACACAGTCAGAAGCATGCGTCGCTTCTCGGAATTGATCGTATGTCTAGTAACTTTAGGTAAGACTCCACCCGCACCCCTGAGAGTATTTTCACGCAGACTCTGTTGATCCAGGTTGACATGAGCTCCTCTTTCATTCGCAGTTGTGGCGGAGGATCAGCTGCCGGAGATTCGCGCCATCGCCGGGGAAGACGCGGTGCTGCGCTGCTCGGCGAAGTCAGAGACCGGCGTCCAGTATCGCTCGGTCATATGGTATAAGGTGAAGATTTGTAAATGTTTTAAACCTTATGTTGGTGTCTTTTTGTTTACTAGGCGCTCGATTTGTTTCAGTTGAACAATGAAAAATATATAATGATAAAATGTAGCCAATAGTCACAAAATCTCACTTGAGTAGCTACTTGAACCTAAATTACATATAATACACATCTGTATTATTATTAATAATGGGTTAAGAAGTGTATATTGGGCTTATTCATATTTTAAAAAGGGTACCATACGGTCCAATTTAATAATAATAGCTGACTATATTAGTTTAAGGAAAAGTTCACCTGAAAATTAAAGTATAGCTACTCTGCATTTACTCACACTCAAGTGTTTCCTAACCTTTATGAGTTTCTTTTCTCTGATGAAGACAAAATAATATTTTAAAGAATGTTAGTAACTGGTTATGACACTATTCATTGTATGTGAACTATCATTTTAACATGAAAAGTACTTAATTAAACCCTTTTTACTATTTGTGAGCATTATTTTAACATTAACTACTACAGCCTTTGAAACAGTGTTTATTATTTGATGGAACTGAGCTAACATGAACTAACAAAGACTATACAGTAACACAGTTTTCTTCATTATTATCTCAGTTAAAGTGTCAGTGCTTTAACTAATGTAACTGATAACCATGTTAGCTGGTTCTTGCATTAGTGCTATAACTTTCTGGACTTCTTCACTGCAAATAACCAGTTAAATTAAGACAAAATATTAATTCAGTAAACTAAAGCTTTACAATAAGGTTCCATTTAATAGTAGTAGCTAATTAAAGGAAAGTTCAACTAAACATTACAGTATACTCAGCATTAACTCCTATTCAAGTGTTTTCAAACCTTTATGAGTTTATTTTCTCTGATGAACACAAAAAAATATTCTGAAGAATGTTGGCAACTGGTTATGACACTATTCATTTGTATATGAACTATCCTTTTAACATGACAAATGCTTAATTAAAGATTTTTTTTAAAATTGTGAGCATTATTTTTAACATTACAGCCTTCGATACAGTGCTTATTATTTGATGGAGCTGAGCTAACAAAGATTAATACTGTAACAAGTTAGTTAGTTAACCTTTATCAGTGCTTTAACTGATGAACATTATGTTGGCTGGTTGTTGTATTAGTGCTTTAACTTTCTGAACTTTTTCACTGCAAATAACCAGTTAAATTAAGACAAAAGATTATCTGAACAATCTGATCAATGTTACTGTTATAGACATTGTTTCAAAACTACTTAAACAGGAGGAGAGGGACAAATAAAATGAGAAACAAAACCGAAATGTATTATAAATGATTCCTATATACAATATTAGACATACTGTATGTGTAAATCTAGTAAAATATTGATTTAAATTTTGTACATTTGTATATTTAGTGTGCAAGAAAAACATTTAAGTGCTTTTTCCTTGTACATTTTTACAAGTGTTTAATTTAATCATTCAGGGATTTATCTAAATGTCAAATGAAATGTCTGTTCTACAGGTTGATGAAGCAGAGCCTTCCCAGCAGTTAACTGGCCTTGTGAGGAAACGGCTCACTGAAGATGATGGGAAAGTGGAGAAATATAACGGTGTCGAGCGAGAAGTGGTACTACTGGAGGACTCAAAGAATCTTATTCTGTCTAATGTAACAGCAGAAGACAGTGGGATATACAGATGCTTTCTGTCTGCTCCGCTTGGCTATCAGAACCAGCGAGGCGATATCATTCTGACAGTCTACAGTAAGTACTTTTCTTAACACCAAAAGTATTTAAACACAATTCACATTGAAAAAGACAACTTTTAAAAATCAAACTCAAGTTGACTAGTGTGCCAGCACATTATGTAAAGTTATTAATCTAAGTCAGGGGTCAGCAAACTTGTTCCTGGAGGGCCAGTGTTCAGCAGATTTTGGCTCCATCTCTAATCAAACACACCTGAACAAGCTAATCAAGGTCTTACTAGGTATACTTGAAACATCCAGGCAGGTGTGTTGATGCTAGTTGGAGCTAAACCCTGTAGAGACACCGGCCTTCTAGGACAGAGATTGGTGTCCCCTGCTGTAATATTCATTAATATTTAAGGGTAGTTTTAAAGACCTCTGAATACTTGTACTATGAGGACTAGGCAATGAACGTGACTGACAAATTAACAATCTCATGTTGAATTTGATTTGTTTTCCAGAACCTCAAACAGTCGAGCGAATGGAGTTTAATAAAAGTTCTCTGGTTTATCTTGGGGAAATTGCTGCTATTGCAGGACTCTTTCTGGGCTTCTTGTTTTTTGGCATAAGCTATGTAAGTCATTTAACCATTTCAAAATATAAAAACCTCTAAACACTTTTAAGTGCACATATTTACCTGAGTCTTGTTCACCACAGGTGTATATAAGGTCTTTTAACCAAAGAGGAAAGAAGCTCTCTTTGCTGAAAATGCCAAGTCCAGGCAAGAATTTGATCACCAGCAATCATTTGATTTGCAAGACTTTACCTGAAGTGTATGTGTGATGGAGGCATACTTCTCAAAGCCGGATTGGGCTTTTCATCAAAAACCCTGAATTAAACCCAGAGTTAACAGAGGAAGTTTAAATCAAGTGTTGTGAAACCACTTAAGCTAAGTTTAAGTTTTTTCAACCGAAGCTTAATCTGCAGTCTGGGTTTTTTTCAAATCGTTTTGTGCAACAGACCTCAGAGCTGATTGGAAAACAAAACGCAGACAGGAGCTCAAGATGACCGTTGGCACAGGAAGTTGGTACATGTCATGTTGGCGGGAGATAAAGAAGCAGGATTCGGCATTATCAACAACATCATTTAAAAACTGCTTTATACATCATGAATACAAAGAGGAAAATGATGCAAACCGTCTAAAAACTGTGCATGCGTCATTGTAGTGGTGTGAAGATCCTGAAAACTGAGACTGACTGAGCTATAAACAGAACATGTTTGGGTGAAGTGTTTGATAAACAATGTTACTGTTCTTACTGTTCAAAGGCACTGATATGATTAAGTTGTTCTACATAAAGAATACAGTCTGAAAACAACTAAATTAAATCCTTTTAAAATGACATTATTTTTTCAATGTTGTCAGGCATAAAAAAAGTACCTCCTATGTAAATCATATTGATTTTGAGTTTGTAGATTTATTTAAAAATGACTGTGTGTAAAAACAAAGAAATAAAACAATGCAAACGATACATTTGTTCTGCCTTTTTTTTACGTAGAGGTTATTTGTCATTTATTCTCCCAAAGAAAATGTATGTGGTCCATTTTTTTGTCTATGCATATAAATACAAATTATAAAAACATCTTTTTGATTTATATGAGCAATAAATAATGTTTTAGTCAACACAACATCATTCTAACACTTGATTATGAGGATTCTCACAAATTACAAGAGTTTATAGCGCTCTCTAGTGGCTGAAATAATAACGAAAAATACTGATGCTAAAAGTTCTAGGAAGAACAAATTAAACAGATTTTTGTTTAAACCTTACAAAAAATGTACGAAAACAACACTTAAAAAAAAATAAATAAATAAAAATACATATATATCATAAATATAAATATACAGTTGAAGTCAGAATTATTAGCCCCCATGTTTATTTTTTCCCCAATTTCTAAACATTCCCCAATTTTTCCCCATTTCTAATCATAATAGTTTTAATACCTCATTTATAATAACTGATTTATTTTATTTTTGCCATGATGACCGTAAACTACATTTTACTAGATATTTTTTTAAAGCACTTTTATACAGCTTAAAGTGATATTTAAAGGCTTAACTAGGTTAATTAGGTTAACTTGGCAGGTTAGGGTAATTAGGCAAGTTATTGTATAACAATGGTTTGTTCTGTAGACTATCAAAAAAATTAGCTTAAAGGGTTTAATAATTTTGTCCTTAAAATGGTGTTTATAAAAAATTAAATAGCTTTTATTCTAGCCGAAATAAAACAAATAAGATTATCTCCAGAAGAAAAAATATTATCAGAAATACTGTGAAAATTTCCTGAATCTGTTAAACATCATAAGGGAAACATTTAAAAAAAGAAAAAGAAAAAAATCCAAAGGGGGGCACTTTAAGATGTACAGAAGTGTTTACAAAATATTTACTAAAATATTATTTACTGTTATTATTTAACACTAAAAAACGGAACTACACTTTTCCAATTTACTATGACCATTTATGTGAAGCTGCTTTGACACAATCTACACTGTAAAAGGGCTATACAAATAAAGGGGAATTGAACTGAATTAAATTGTCATCATGACAAAGATAAAATAAATCAGTTATTAGAAATGAGTTATTAAAACTTTTATGTTAAGAAATGTGTTGAAAAAAAAATCTTCTCTCTGTTAAACAGGAATTGGGGGAAAAATAAAGAGGGGGGCTAATAATTCTGACTTCAACTGTACATTACATTAGTCAGTACTGTACTGAAGCCAAATTTGGAGCTAATCTAACAAAATTATTTACAATAATGGTTCAAAAATGAGTAGCCCAAATATATGTTAGGGAAAAATATTAAATGAAATGGTCAAAAATAGTAAGAATCAAGACAAGCAAAAAATATGTAGAATTTTTTTGAAATGTAGTAGTTTGTAGTTTGTATTAAATTATTTTGCAATATTTTGCATGAATTTAAATGTTTTATCTTTTCATTTTTAAAGACATTCTGTGACTAAAATATTATTTTAATAAATACAGTATATCTGTTAAATAAATCTGTTTTCTTCAAATGCACCAATACATATTACCTATATTCACTGAGAAATTGATAAAAATAATCATTTGCAAAATGGGGTGTATGAGCACTGTACACTATGCTTTCTAAACAGCAGACTACGCTCACAATATAATGTCTGGCCAAACTACGCTTTTAAAATAAGTTGAACAACATAATTCTTTTGGTTTTGGGGGGAGGGACAAACTTAATTGCTTTACATTCAATCCAACTAAATTTGTAAAAAAAAAAAAAAAAAAAAGTTTAAAAAAAAGTTAACCTAAATCCTTCATGTTGCCCCAACACAAATAGATTGTGAACCCAGCTTTTTTTTACAGTGTAGATTTCCCCCCTCAGCCTACAGAGGCTCAAACCACAGTCAGAAGCCAGACAAACTCTGCAGGTTTTAACTTCAACAGAGCTGTAAATTCAATCATTTTAATTTGCCCTGAGCATAACCAGACCCTCAAGCGCATTTATCAAGTTCGCAAATGAGCTCACAAACCTGTCTGACATTTCGTTATTATAAATTATTCAAGTGCTAAACTTTGTGGATGTTATTGATGGTTCTGATGATGGGCTTCCTCGGCCAATCTGACTGTAATAGTAAGCCTTGAACATATAAATAAAAAAATAAGACAAACTGCTATTGCCACAACCACTGACCCACAACATAAGAAATGACTTTCACCTCAAACACCCAGTTAGCATTCTAGCTCATATTTTTTCAAGCTCAAATGGAGTGTTTCATTTTTGAAACCCCTGTTGGGTCTGTCATACTTTCATGGAACGGTAACACAAACCAAACCACGCTTTACATAATGCTCCAATGGAAACCTGGCAGTTTGGGAAATGCAAAATGAAGTCCTTGTGATTTACATAAAACTAGACTTACATTCGTCAATGAGTCACTTACTGGATTTGATAATATGACTGGCGCTCAATCAAGCTATTCAACACACCAGTCCAATTAAAATATCAAATGGCTTGGCTGATATTAAGTGTGTGTTGAGTGAAAAATGTGATACTTATCCAGTCAAGCACAGATGTGAACGCAAGCTGACAAATGATTCCTTTTTTTCATAGATTTCTGTAGAAATGACAGAATCTTCTGACAAAAGTGTATGTTTAAAAGTGCTTCATCAATGCAAAGTTCACTACTGTTGCTTTTAGAGGCATCTATGATAAAAATCCCTTTTGTAGGCTGTTTGGACAGAACTGTGTGTTGTAGTGTGTCCACTGTCATATTGGAGAGATATAAACCCAACAAGTCTCTTTCTTTAAACTTCCTGATGTTAAAATAGAACCTAAATCCCAGTGATTTTGAGGCCCACCGCTATGTGACGTAGGAGTGCGGGTTTCCCTGCCCACCGAATTGATTGACAGGTGCCATATTTCTTTAATAACAACATGTATACACAGGTCCACAGAACATTTTTTGTAAATAAACTGGGATTAAAATGCCTGTACTATACCTCTTATAATTTAAAAAGTTTTAATATAGAACCTGTTTGTAATAAAGTCAGTAAAATCAATATGTAATTCTTAACTGCTATAATCACCATGAGCACATGGTGTCAGCAAATGCGCATATATACAGTATGTGTGTGTATGTACTGCCAACAGCACTTGTGTGAGACTCATCATTTCAGAAAGACTTAAAAAAATAACATTAAATTAACTTCCTTGGTATTTTGACTAATAAGCTGTATTTCAGCATCATTCGTGTCTGTCTCTATCACTGACTGCTGTTTATCTGAAGTAACGCATGATGATAAGCAGACACTTGAATAGGTGGGCGAGCAGAAGATGCTCATTTGGATTTAAAGCCACAGGCTACGAAAACAGCTACAATGCATTCAGACACAAAAATGGGCAGATTCTGGAGGCTTTAATAAATTATCTGATGATATTGTGAGCTGAAACTTTACCGACAAATCCTAATGACATCAAAAGCTTATTTTACATATTGTAAAAACTGGTAAAATAGGTACCCTTTAAAGGTTAGTTTATCGAGAAATGAAAATCAATTTAATAATTACTCACCCTCTTGTTGTTCTTATCCCCTGAGACCTTTGTTCATCTTCGGGAACACAAAATTAGATACTTAAGATGAAATCCCAGAGCTCTCTCATCCTCCATAGACAGCAAGGACCAGAAATGTTCAAAGACCAGAAAAGGAACCAAAAACACTGTCAAAACATTCCATGTGACTTTAGTGGTTTAACTGTGAGCTTTCAGGTTTTTTTTCTAAAATTTTTCAGAAAATGAATGACATGGCGGTGATTAATTAATTACAGAATTCATTTTTTTGTGAACTAACCCTTTTAATAGTTAAAATCGTTACATATACTATTTACAAGTGTTTTAGATAGGGCCACCTAAATGCAGATTAAGTCAAGACTAAAACCACAGTGTAATAAGAACAAAAATAACCAGATGCAATCTGATTCCCATAATTTTTTTTGAGTATTTATGAGTATTTAGGGGCAACACGGTGGTTCAGTGGTTAGCTCTGTCACCTCACAGCAACAAGGTTGCTGATTCAAGTCCCAGCTGGGTCAGTTGCTATTTCTGTGTGGAGTTTGCATGTGCTCCCCGTGTTCATTTGGGTTTTCTCCAGGTGCTCCGGTTTCCCCCACAGTCCAAAGACATGCACTTGCTGAATTTAATAAACTAAATTGGCTGTAGCGTATGAGTGTAAACAAGGGTGAATGAGGGTGTATGGACAGTGGAAGGGCATCCACTGTGTACAGCATATGCTAGATAAGTTGGTGGTTTGTTCCACTGTGGACCCCTGATGAATTAAGAGACTAAGCTGAAGGAAAATAAATTTATTTTACTATTATTTATTTATATTTATTTACTATTTAAAAGTATTAATGTTTGATCAGATCCTGTCACCAATTAGGAATTAAAAATCTCTTGTGGTGGGATTCCAGATTCAAACAAATAAAAGCAACACAATTCAATTTAAACATTCTATTTCTTCCCAACCACCTTTGCCAGCATGGAGAAATTGTGCAGGATTGCTGACTTAAGAGGGTCATACACCTATTTTGAGCCAGATTCTTAATAAAATAATAAAAAGTAATTTAGAAGTGTAAGAGAGGCCAGCTAGTAATGTGCTGTGCAGGTAAACCTCACTCTTTTGATTTCTAAAGGTGCTCTGGCAACAGACGCTAGAGGCCATGGACTTTAGCCTCCTTGTTAGAGCAACCGCATGTGGAGAGTCGCCAGTTCGATCCCAGCTCAAAGTGTTTGGGTGGTGTAGGGCCAGCAGGGTTACATAAGCAGGTGTTATTGCAAGTAGATACTTTAAATGGTGTTATGAGATATACGTTTTAAATTATTAATTAATTCATTAAATTTAAATTAATTAAATTTAAATTAATTAATGAATATAATTAAATATATCTGTAAATATGGAAATAAAACTGTCAGTAGGTCACAGAAAAAAAAAAAA